TATATATATATATATATATATATATATATATATATTCTCTCAATTGTCTTTTTCCTTGTTGAAGCATGAAGTGATACAGTCTTGACATTAACTTGTCATTCATTGTTTATTTTTATTTTTTTCAAAGGTGTGAATAGCAGCGATACAAATAGCAACGGCCTAATAATGATACAAGAGCTACAGAGGTACCAACAATCTTTTTTTTACCAAAAACAATCCTCCTTTTTTTCTGGGTTGGGGGGTTGGATGATATATATGTTTTTTTTTTTAAGTATACTTCTTGTATTTTTTTTAAAAAAAAATACAATATCTTTAATTTTTAATTTTTAATTTTATATTTTCAACTTTTTCTTCTTCTTTTCCACACTTTTTTTTTCCTTTCTATTTTCAATTTTCAGAAGCACTTCTTTGTCTCCTCTCACTCTCCAGCTGTTTTAATTAGTAGTTTTAATTCTTTAAATTTTTACATTACTCTTTTTTTCTCTCATTTATTTCAGTTTTCACATGCACTCAACTCGTAGAATTGGTGTAGGACATTGTGGTAGAAATGTTCGACTTTCTCAACAATTTTGAAAGTATCAAACCAAACACACATTTTTTCTTCGAATACTTTCTCCCGTTTCATACTTCCAAAAACTTTAATATTGAATTTATTGTTCTAAAAAATACTTTTTAACGCATTAATTTCAATAGTATAGAAAACACTTCAAAATAATGAAATTAGTATTCTGGAAAATAAATTTTTAAAATTATGTTTTTTTATATATTTTTGAAAAGAGTAAAAGAGAGAAGGGATAGAATAATAGCGTGAAAACTAAAAAGGAAGAAAGAAAGAGAGTGATATAAAAATAAAAAGTATAAAAATTACCCACCAAAATAGGTGGAGAGTGGGAGAAAGGTAAATGATGTGTGTAAAAACTAAAAAAAAATAATAATAAAAATAAAAAGATGTGTGAAAAAGAAGAAGACTGTGTTAAATTCAACATTGAAACTGTAAAATTTAAAAGAAAATATTTAAAAATTATATTTTAAAAAATTGGAAAAATAAAATAAAATGTGCACTTAAAAAAGGTGTACAATGTACATACACGGATACACCATTATATTTGGGCCTATTATCAAAACCGGCTTACACCAGTACTCAGTTAAGATCCGACCCAACACAACAATGAATGATAGACATAACGAAACATAAATTATGTATATATGCATAAATCAAAATATTAATTTTTACAAGAAATATATAAATTTCCGTGGTAAAAAAAAATCAGAAATTCATAGATTTTATTGAAATATTATAAATGCAATCCATATATGTAGTTTTTGATTGCGTGAAAAAATAAATCAAGACAAGAAAAGGACGAAGTCACACACACACATATATTGTATGTTAATTTTCACCTAATTCACGAAGCATTTAATGGAATTCGCTCCCGATATATATAATAATACTGTTGTATTCTAAGTTTCTAACCTATTAAGACAATTATAACTTTTTTAAGTAATATTATCTTAATAATTCTCTTAAGATAATGTTTTAGCCAAATGATCGTAACTCAATAACTAAACATTAAAAGTCAATATGAAAAAAAAAGTCAATTTCTGACACCTCTCTCTTTCTCACTCCACTTTCTTTTTATTATTAAAGAAATAGTTGTAAAAATATAAGATTTAGACAACGTAATAACCTTATTTTAGTGGGAAGATAAGATCGAGCAAATAAATAGCAACTGTGAGTGATAACATTCTCTCTGTTTTTGATTATAAGAAATTTTTTTAAAATATAAATAAATTTAAATATTTTTATGTCATTTAATGATATTTTTTCTAGAATATCCCTCTTTTAACACAAGATCTTTTAATTGTATTATTTCTTTTTATATTTATAAAAAAAAAATTAAGAAAAATCTTATAAAAATAATAAAATTGAATGTAAATAATTAATTTTTTTTAATACGAGTAAAGTCGTTATTTTTTTTGTTATAATATATAAGATAGGACTAATACTTTTGACCTTTGGCTCCTTATTACATGAGTGAGGCTGAGGCACGCCCAGTTTTGAACAAGTTGAGTTTCCAAGTGACAGTACATAGAATAAAATGGTGGACCTATACTATAGCAGTATAGGTAGTTTAGTTTTACGAATGAATGAATTATTCGAAATGACCAGTCCAACCTCCATGAATTGACCTATTTAATTCCCCATATTTTCCTTTTTATCCATCTCTCCTAAACCATTTGAATAGATATATAGAATTTTATAGTAGCTTAATTTGCTTCAGATATGTTCAGCCCAGCCCCAATGGTGAGCAAAGATATACGAAAAGGGTGCTTGAAAATCAAAGTGGGTGAAGGCGAAGAGCAACAGAAAATAAGGGTACCCATCAATTACCTCAACCACCCACTCTTTGTTCAGCTTTTGAAGGAGGCCGAGGAAGAATATGGTTTTGCACAAAAGGGAACCATCACCATACCTTGTCAAGTGGCACAGTTTAAGTACGTTCAACATTTGATTCATAAGGACAAATCCCTCCTTGCCTGCTTCACCCTCTGATCCATTAGTCTCCATACCTCTTTCTCTCTTCGTCGATGGATCTTTAGCTTATGCTGATCCAACTCCATCATCTATACAATTCATGTTTCTTGCGTGCAATTCTATGTCTTTTTTACTTTTTTAGTATAT